TTGGAGCGGTATGTATGGGCCTCGGGGGCTCGAATGACCAAGTCCAAGTCGTGGAGTGGGACGTGCTCCGAGAGTAAGGCAGTGTTCATGTTGAAATCCCCACCTACAATACTCGGGAACTTGTGCCTCTGGATATCCTCCCCCGGAGCCGTCAAGATCCTGATGTTCTTAAGTCCCAATTTCACGCCGTCATACAAGTAGATAGAATAAAGAGCTATCGTGCCAAGTGCAGAAGTCCTGAGAAAGCATCTGACTAGCCTGGCAGGAACCAGGATCGACGGCGATGACGGCATATTCCAGATATCGAGGTGCCTCTCAGCCAGTATGAAGACCCCACCTGAGGCAAACGTATCTAATCTGGTAGCAGGGGCCACAGTACTTCCAACCTTCGGCTAGGAGTGTAGAGACCACTGCATCATACTTACTTCCTTCTAGTAGCTTATGCTCCTGGATGTGCACTATGTCCCCTGCCACCTCTGAAACCAACTCTGACCCAGTATACCAGGAGTTCAGGTTGAGGGTGGTGAGGATAAGAGGCTGCAGAGGCTGGGTGCTGCCCCCGCGGCCGCGGGACTGAGGGGGCGGCGGCCGCCCCCCCGGCGCCTCCTGGATCAGCTCCTCGATGGCTGGATCCCTGTCCTGCCTCTGGAGCTGGGGCTGCTGTCGGGGCTGCTGCAGCTCCTGCTCCCGAGGCTGCTGCGCCCGAGGCTGCTGCACCTGCTGCTGCTGCTGGAGTCCCCTTCCTTGCACATCCCTCCTGCTTGATGTGGGGCTTCTGGGCTCCCTTCCGCGCACTTGAGGCCAAACATATCTTCCGAAGTTTGCCCAGGGAGTCTTTGCCAAGACCTTGTCCCTGGGGCCCCAGAAGCGCCTGGATCTGCTGACCACACTCCTCGTCCATCTCCAAATCCTCATCGGAGTCCTCCACATACCCCCCATCGACTGCAATGCACTCTGCTGCTGACATGAGTGTTGCGGCGGATGCTGGCATAGTACCTCCTCCTCCCGGGGTTCCTCCTGGGTCTGCTGGGATCGGCGGGGTGAGCGCGCCGAGGAGGGAGAATAACTGGTGCTCGACTATGCCCTCGCATAGTCGGGTCGTGCACCACATTTCCAAGTGCCTGCTTGGGAATCCCCGCATACGTATCCCCAGTCGGAGCTGCTGGAGAAGGCCCTGGACCCATAGATTCTTGAAGCTTGAGATGTACCTTAGTGCGGGCCTCAGTGAGCTGAACTTGAGCTGCCTGCAAGTCCCTTCCCAACTGCTGCCTCCACTCCAAGTGCTCTGTGATAACTTGTTCTGCTTCAATGATCTGGTCTTGAATCCTCTCGACCTCCCCCTCATATTTCTTGACCTGCTTCTCAAGCTTCTGGAGGATGGTCGAGGCCGAGGCCTGGGACTCCTGATGGGCCTGGTGGGCGTTCCAAGCCTGAATGAGGAATCCTGAAGTAGCCTCGTCAAAACTGTTCCCCCCGCTCCCCAACTGGAAGAGGTGGTGGAGGGAGTCGTGCGGTGTATGGCTGGGGCGGTCGCCACGCCCCCCGCCTTTGGTCCCGCCGTCTTTTGGGCGCCCGCCCTCTGAAGCCGACTGGCCCCATGCAGGCACGCCACGATCTCCTTTCTTTCCTTTGCCCTTTCCGCGCGCCCAGGGGGGCGGCGGATCCCTCCAATCCCCTCCATTGGATGACGGGGGTGGAGGAGCAGGACGACCGTAAGGAGCACCGCAATGATAGCAAAACTTGCTGTGCTCCAGGTTCTTTTTGCAGCCGCAGCGGCCACATGGGGGCCCGACGGTTTTTTGCTGGGTGGGGCCCCACTGGGACCCACGGCCATTCCCCTTTCCCATTTATTCCTCAGGTCCTGAGCGCCAGCAGTATGGCACCCAGGGGCGCGAGCGGCCGGTGGCAGCCAGACCTTTTCGCTCCTGAGCCGAGGTTGGGAAGTTAAGGAGAAGGCCCCTTGAGCCAAAATGGCTACGGCCCTCCTCCTCCTCCTCCTCCTCCTCCTCCTCATCCTCCCCATCCTCCCCCAATCCTCCTGCTCCCTCTCCTCCTCCTCCTCCTCCTCCTCCTCCTCCTCCTCCTCCTCTCCTCCTCTCGCTCCTCCTCCTCCTCCCCTCCTCCTCTCCTCCTCCTCCTCCTCCTCCTCCCTCTCTTCGTCCCTGCCTCCCCCTCCCCGCGCAGGCGAGGGGCCAGGCGAGGGGCAGCCCCCGCGCGCGGGAGAGGCGACCGGGCCCCCGGGCAGGGGCGGGTCCGCCGCGCGGGCCCCCGGGGTGCCCCACCGCGCGGGCCAGCGCAGGGCCACGGCACAGCGCCACAGCGCCACATCGCGATATTATCGGATTCGATGAAAAGAAAAAAGGAAATCTAATATTGTGGGCGTGATCAAGAGATCAAGAAAGAAGCCCACAATAGATTTCCTTTTCCTTTTCATAAAGGAAAGAAAGAGGCGGTCATAAGAGCGAGGCTAAGGACTGAAGGCCAGCCAAGCATCCGCTGTAGCTCGACACAACGGCGGGAGAGCGCGCCGCAGCTCGACACAACGGCGTGTTCGCTCGAAGTCGCTCCGAGCACGCAAGTCGCGGGCGATGTTTCTCCCCCAATCCCCGAGTTTCGCCCGAAGAGTCTGGCCGCTCAGAAGAATGGGAGAACCCTGGGATACACCCCAAGGGGGCTATTCGGACGCACCCCTATCGAGAATGGACACCCCCCCATCGTATATCCCAGGGTTAGGCCCCAAATTTCTGGTCCATTCGGAAACCCCACGAAGCCTGGGATAGGGGTCGACATATCCCCTGTTAGCAAGGGTACAGCCAAGGCGGCAGCGTCTCGGGCGAGCACAAGAGACAGCGTCGTCGCCCGAGCGTGTGCGGCCCGGTCCCCCGGGGCCGCAGGGTTCCGCAGCTCCGCGGGCCACGCGGTCGGGAGCTTCTCTGGACAGCGCGTCGCGCCGCCGGCGCTCGGGCCGGCCTGCGGCGCGCTCTCCCGGGGGATCGGGCCAAGTCCCAGACCCCCCTCGAGTCATGGAAACGTCGGGGCGGGAGTTTGGTCGCCTCTTGTCCGCCTCGGGGGGCCCTTCCCGGGCCTCGCGACCGTGGCACAACGACTCGGGAGGAAAAGGCTGGCCCCAGGGAATGGGTCGAGACCTCTGGGGGTCGACGTCATGGACAAATCTGGACCTCGGGGGTCTGTGTAGACGAAATTCGTGCCCCTTCGCCGGAGTGACCTCTGGGTGCGGGCCCATCGGAGCCCCCCGCTCGCCGAGCGCGATGCGGTGGTGGCGTCTTGCGCGTCTGGGCTTGGCTCCCTCGCGCCCCCCCAGACGCCGCGCACCGAAGGTCACTCCTACCCTGGGTCACCCTTGCGTGTACAGTCAACCCGCATTGCAAGGATGGGCAATCTTCCCAAGGGTACCCTTGAATCCTTGCCCCTTCAGCCCATCCTTAGCGACGTTCACTGGCCAACCTCGTCGGAAAAACGTCAACATCGCCTTTTGAGGCCCGTGCACCCTTACATACCGCGCATCCTTACTGTACGGGTTGACTGTAACCGAGATCCACGTCCCGGCCGCCCAGCGTCAGCGTCCCGAGCTTATTCGGGGCTTTCCCCTCCGAGGAGCGGAGCGACACGCCAGTCCGCTCGCAGGGCACGGCGTGTCGCCGGGGCCGCCGCGGCGCAAGCGCTGTGCAGAAGTTCCTGACTGTAAGCGCTGGGACTCCCACGAACGAAATGGGCACGGAAAGAATGGGTACGATACCCAACAGCATTTTCTGTTAATTTTGACTAGGGCTCGCTGTCCGCGCCGCCGCGGCCTGTGTCAGCGCCAGTGAAGCCTCCACAGAAGACGCGCGCTCTCATCGTTACTGGCTTGCGCAGCTCACACTGACTTAGGGACTGCTGCCCGTTCGCTGGCGGGAACGCCGCCTGCGGCCGCACCCGAGGAGAAGAGAACGAGGGAGGCGAGGCGCAAGGCGAGGGGGGAGAGGGAGAAGGCAACGGCGGCCAGGCGGGGGAGACGCAACGGGGCGGGGGGGCGGGGGGATGGGGTCGGTAGTCACGCCGTCGGCCGATGTGGTCGTCGTGGGCGTCGCGGCCGTTGTGGTCGTCGTGGGCGTCGCGGCCGTGGTTTGAACGACAGCCTCGGTGGTCGTGGCCGTGGTCGTGGGCGTCGCCGTGGACGAGCCGCGGGGCGGGCTCAGCGTGCTGGCAGTGGCGCGCTTCGTGATTACGCGGCAGGCGGGCCTCACTGCCCTGCTGCGCTGAGCACCACCTCCGCGCTGCCGCGCTGGAGCAGCCAGGAAAGCTGCCGCCACAGCCCTCCTGCGTACCTTAAGTCGGGCATGTCCCTCTACAGGGGGAAGATTCAAAAGAGTCAAAAAATAGTCTGGGGACGATTTTTCGATGATCATTTGATTTTATGTTTTTTTGCCTCCATTCTTCGTCCAACATCTGCCTGTAGGGGGACACGCCCGACTTAAATACGTACCTCGACCCTGGCCGCCTCGTCGACGCCGTGGTTGTTCGCCCAGATGATCTCCAAGGCGAGATTACCCCCGCTCGGGGGTGACTGGTCCTGCGTCTCCTGCGCCACGGCTGCCGCGGCGACACCATCGCTGTTGGAGCGAGCCTGCCTGAGAAGGGCGTAGGAAGAGCACTCGCAGGTGATGCTCCAATCAACGTCGACGTCACAGCCCGTGGTGGGGTCACGGGTCGCAGTGTCCAGCTGCCTCCTGCACGCCAGCCGCCTCCTCCTGTTCCTCCTCCTCCTCCTCCTCCTCCTCCTCCTCCTCCTCCTCCTCCTCCTCCCCCTTCTCCGCCTCCTCTCCTCCTCCTCCCCCTCCCCCTCCCCCTCCTCCTCCTCCTCCTTCTCCTCCTCCTCCTCCTCCTTCTCCTCCTCCTCCTCATTCTCCCTTTGACCCCCTGGCCCCTGGCAGCCTTCTCGCTCTCCTGCGCCACCCCCCCACCCCCCCGCCTTGCCGGCGACGGCGGCGTCATTCGAG